AAGTGCTAAAAAAAAAAAAAGAAAAAAAAAAAAAAAAAAAAAAAGTATGGTAAAAAGTACCGGGTACAACAAGGTCATGGTGTCACAGTCACTGCCATTTCTAGGGCTGGAGCTGGGCTTCATCTCGCTCCTCTTCTAGTCTTTAGCCGCTGGGGCTGATTACCATTATCCACTGCACCTGGCAGATGAGTTTCACCTGTGGCGGTTGGCTCTGCCTATATAACCGGTCCTGTTCTTTGCTCTCATTGTCAGGAAAGTTCTTGGCATTAAGCAGTACACTCCAGCTGTCTCAGCTTCAGGTCTTCAGTTTATCTGTTCTGACTCTCTGCCTGCCTGCTGTTTGGGTGATTATTTTTTTCAGTACCGGCTTGAGCCTGTCTGCTTCCATAAGCCTTCTGCTCTTCCTCATTATTTGACTCTTAATAACCCTGCTGACTGCAGAGATTGTATGTTGTCACTGTGTGCCTCTGCCTCCCAGTGGGTGACGTTATATGTCCATGGAGCTCAGTGTGATTTTGTTTTAGTGGCTACTTAGGACTGCTATTGTTTTGTTGTTTTTAGTGCTTTGTATATTCTTATTTGTTGATCCCTTTTCATCTTATTGACATGTTTTTCCAGCCACAGTTTGCAGTCCATTTTAGTTCATTTATTATTGGGAAGTCCTATTGTAGTTTTCAAACAATTAATCTTTATTACAAGTATGTTAAAATATAAGGAGTTTGATTCCAGCTAAATGGCCCCCTGATGCGCATCAAATAAAACAGTGACAAGTAGAAAACAACCATCTATTTCTAGGTATGTACATACATACAAGTTATAAGTGAGCTATTTTATGTACAGTGATGATGTCTGTAGGTTATTGCACTGTGGTGTTTGCTGTATCTTGTTATACACAATAAACAGAGACTAACTGTTCATCAGAGCGACAGCCTGGGGGAAGAAACTGTCCCTGTGTCTGGTTTTCTTGGTGCACAGTGACCTGTAGCGCCGTCCAGAGGGGAGGAGTTCAAACAGGTTGTGCCCGGGGTGTGAGGGGTCTGCAGTGATCCTCTCCACCCTCCTTTTGACCCGTGAGGTGTACAGGTCCACCATGGAGGGCAGGCTCACACCAATGACCTTTTCTGCAGTCCTGACTGTCCGCTGAAGTCTGTACTTTTCCTGTTTGGTTGCTGAGCCAAACCAGATAGTGATGGAGGTGCAGAGAACAGACTCAATTATTCCTCTGTAGAACTGTATCAGCAGCTCCTGGGGCAGGAAGTACATCCTCTGCTGTGCCTTCTTGGTGATGGTGCTGATGTTGGACAACCACTTCAGGTTCACGGAGATAGTGGAGCAAAGGAACTTGAAGGATTTTACTGCTGAGTATAGCGAGAGGAAAAAGGGGCATGTGGTTCCTCCTAAAGTCCACTGTTTTCAGTGTATTCAGCTGTATGGCCAGCTGTTCACCCTCCCGTGTGTAAACTGGCTTGTCACCATCTTGGATGAGACTAGTGACTGCTGTGTCATCCGCAAACTTCAGGAGTGGAACAGAGAGATCCTCATTTGTGTAAAGGGAAAACAGCAGCAGCAGGGAGAGCACACATCTCTGGGGGGTGCCTGTGGTGCATGTGTTTGGTTTTTTTTTTTTTTGTTTGTTTGTTTTTTCTCTTTTCCCCAGCCTCACCTGCTGCTTCCTGTCTGTCAGAAAGCCAGTGATCTACTGACAGGTGGGTCAGGTACAGTGAGCTGGGTCAGTTTGGGTTGGAGGATGTCTGGGATGATGGTGTTAAATGCAGAAGTGAAGTGATGTTATAATACTGTAGGAAGCAATAAGGATCTTGAACCATATGGACAGGTCAGCTTTCAGGCTCTACAGTCAGAAAATGACTACACAGCATAAATAACATTTTTGGGATGCTGCTGTGCAAATCTTCTCAAAGGGTGTGTGACCATTCTCAAAATGTCATGTGTGCTGCTCAGTCAGGAAATGTCAAGAGGAAGTGGAACCCTATGCCACACTGGCAGCACTGTGTGTGTTAAATGATATTCCATGGTTGTGTGGATCCATTTTAGTTTGATACCATTGGCTGAAAAAAAACTTAGAAAAAATCAACTGGACTAGATTCCTAGGTTGAAGACGTTTCACCTCAGTTCTCAAGAACTGATGAAGCCTCTTGGATGAGAGGTGAAATGTCTTCGACCTAGAAATCTTGTCCATTTGATTTTTTTTCTAAGTTTTTTTTCAGCTTACTATGATCTGGATGACTGAGAATCTGCAGAGACATGGTTGATACCAGTGTTGTGAGGACATTTTAGCTGTTGTTCTTCACAGCTTTCAAAGTGGTGTTTGAGGAGTAAGACTTGGGTTAGGTATTTCCATAGTTATGATGGTAAAGGACTAGGGATTGCATTGTTGGTGAGTGTCCTCACCTCTAGAAAGATGAATGCATCTTTGAACAGAATGTTTTGATGGAGAGTAAGCAGAGGAGGATGCAATATTAGCAGTCTGGGTTCTTTTGGAATGTAAAACAATGTTGAATTTCTCTTCTTTTTTTTGACTATATTTGTTACGTCCACAGCCGGTGCCTCTGGTTCATCCGCTCCCCCAGCCAGCTCTACTGGCACCTCCACTCACTCACATGTTAACTGACGGACTGGTAGATGAAGCACAGCTGTGTCCAATAAGCCAGGCACAATTTAGGCCGAGTGTTGGTGTGCTTCGTCGCCGGCCCATTGTTTCTGACTAGTTGGAAGACACCTCGGCTCCTGAACTCAGTACTGTCCGTGTATAACTTGTGGTTTGTTTTGCCTCCAGTTTCCCAGGTATCATCCCTCTCTCTGGCAGCCCGATCTCCATCTTACTTTCACCCCTCTGCTGTCCTCCTCATTCAGTGAGAT